GTTTTTTAATTTCTGCTAAGAACTCCACCCTAAAAACTTCAGGTTAATCATGATGTAATGTTTTATTAGAAAGCAGTTGGTAGAATATTTGCATTTAGAATATATAAAGTTTCAAAATTAATTTAATATATTTATTTATTTATCTAATAATATCAGAAAATTATATTTCAAAAAATTATTTTTTAAATAAAAAATTAAGTTAAATTTTAAATTATAATTATGTTTAAAATAAAATTATTTATTCATACGATATGATATATATATATATATATATATATATAACATAAACACCTATTAAAATAAAATTATTTATTCATATGATTTTATAATCATTGTAACTTATTTTAGAAAAAAATTAGACCTTGATCACATAAGTTTGTGTGAGATATTTAATAGTTTTAGTAATTTATTCTCGCTTTGAAAATTTCAAGATACAAGATGTATAAGAAAGTCTAAATTTTTATTATATGATTAGTGTAGTTGTGTAATTTATTTTAATAAGAATGTTTTTTAAAAATGATATAAAATATGCAGATTGTTAACAAATATTTATTATTTTAAATCATTAATAGTCATATATATCTCAATCACATTAGGTAATTCCATAGGTTTTATTTAAAGAAAGAATATATAGAAAATTTAGTTTGATATGTTATTTAGTTTGATATGTCTTATATGAGACCAACGGACCTTGTTTTAAAACTATGTTTTATATAAGACGCTGTAGAATTTTTCTAAACATAATTTAGAAGGCATAGAGAACTAGGCATAGAGTACTGCCACATATGATGAAGTTTTTTTTCATTAGCACAAACTTAAGGTTATAATTTTTTTAAATGATCCTCATTTAATATATAGGGGATAATCCATGGATGTATAAAAATAATCAATAAAAAATTTGAGATTTATAAAGTATTTTTTTAATTACATAAATTTTAAGTGTATATTTTCAATATATATAGATTTCGAATTAGCCATGAAAGGATTTGGAGAAGTTGAAATCAGCAAAGAACAAGAGAATCAACACAACAAAACCTGAAGAAGTTCTGTTCAAAAGACTCTCCATTGTGGAATCCATGGTCACCAAGATTCTCAAAATCATGCAAGGTCCTAGCTTGATTATTGTTCATTTTTATTTTCCAGTGTTATTGTTTCCATATCAATAATATAGTGAGATATCAATTTTTGGCTTTAACTGGTGACCAAAGGAATGTGTGGGAATAGTTAATTTCTCTTTATTCCTTAAATTTGACACCATTTATAAGGAATCATAATAGTTAATTTCTCTTCATTCCTTAAATTTGACACCATTTATAAGAATAATTTTTCTTCAATATTCCTTTTTTATTCCTTTTAATTTAAGGAATCAAAGAACAAAACCATTCCTTATCAAATTCGGAGAGGAACAAGTGTTCCTATTATTCCTTTATGTTTTCATTCGAGATGTGTCTTTTTTAGAAGTAGTGTACAAATTTATATTCACAGTGAACGATATTGGAATCGTTTTACCTAGTGCTTTTTTGTAAGTTACGGTTTGATATTTTAAATAAGGTTTGATATGTTTAATAAATTATTTTTCCTTTGTCTGAATTGAGTATCCTTTTATAGTTGTTCTACAAAATTAACATGTCCTTCTTTAATTCAGTTGGATGGTAAACTAAGAATATATTTAGAAAAAATTCTCTTAATTAACCTTTTCGCTATTATTAGTTAACTAACACTATTCAAAAAAATATTTAGACATGAATTTGCCTTCGTACCTTTGGATATATTTGGTTGTTATATTTTTTCTCTAACTAAATCATTTGTCAAAATAAGAACTTATAGTTAGTTTGTTTTATTAAGAAATCTGTATATATTTCATCTAGTCTAGAAAAGAAGAGTAGAAATGTAGTTAACATGTTTATTCACTACTCTGTATGCTCATTTATCTTTGTAATGGTTTGTGTGATCTTATGTTCATAGATTGTATATATTGTTTTATTAATTTATGAAAGCTATTTGACAAAAAGTCATGAAAGGTATGCGCTAAATAGAAAATTTATACTATTTTCAGTAACCATAGAAGTTTAGAAATTGTAGATGGATTCACTTAATATTTACAAGAATTATTTTTTGGAACACAACTCAATTTCGTTAATATAACTTTTTAATACAACATAATGAATAGATGATCCATCCTCTTTAATAATAAAAATAAAACACAATAACAAAAGAAATTAAAAAGGATAGATCTTCATGAGAAGATGACAACGAATTCGAGGCAAAGTTTGAGTGAGTTGATGAAGCTTTCACAATAAAGTCATAAAGCTGAAATTTAGTAACTATTAATTGTGAAGTTTAAATCCAATCCTCATCTACAAGAAAAATTGAGGTAGTTTCGATTGTATCTTCTGACTCCTTACATATTACTATACAAGATGATAAAATGGTGCATAAGCTGAAAAATTTGCTCGGGAAAGAAACCAAGAAAATGGTAGACATAAAGCCGATGATTGAAGAGGAGTTGTAGTAAAGATCCTGGTGGATAGAACTCTGGAGAGGTGTGGAATGGTGCTTCAAACTAACGCTGACAATCGAGATGAGATATCATAGTTGAAAGCTCAGCAGCTTTTGGAGAGTCTTCTCACAGATCCAAGAGGCCAGATCTATGTGGATTCTAGGTTAGAGGATGAGGATGAGAGCAAGCTAATAGAATTGACTGAGACTGTTGAGGAAAAATGACATGACGCAGCAGAATATATGGTAGTGTTCCCTGACCTTCTGTGAATCTATGAGGAAAATATTTTGACGATAGTAAAATATAGTATAACCAGAAACTAAATGCGACAAGAAATTTTGTACGTTTGAAAACGTCCTCGATGTGAGAAAGAAAAACTAATGGGACCGTAGTCCACTCAAAAATTCACTATATAAATGGGTATGAGTACAACCACGTCCTCCCTGTTTAATAATCTGAACAGAACAAAGACTCTAGCTACAAAGAGGTATCCCAAACACAAGATACGAAAACAATAAGAAAGCAACACAAAGCTTCAAAACCGGCAGTAAACAAATGAACTCAGTTCACAAGGATTCAGGAAACCAGAGACTACTCCCACCGTAAAAATCCAAGATAAATAAGTCAACAACACCTTTGACAAATTTCAGCTCCAACAGAGAAGATCTCACCGTCAGATTGACCATACACTCAAAACATCACTGCTGAAGAACTATGACGACCAGTTTCACTAAAACCCAGACAACATAAGATCCAACTGTTGAAATCCAAATTACTTTGGTGAACCTCTAATCAACTGACTGAAGAAGCTTCGCACAAAATATCAGCCCAAAAAGGATTCGTTCGACCCTCAAAACCTGCCTCGACAAATCCAGAGAAATTCTGCTTCCTTCTCTCTTTTTCTCTCTTTTGTCTTTTAAATCCTTATGAATTTGCACCAAAATATTTGGTCAAGAGACAATATATAGTGTCTCACTAACCTTAAAGCCTAATGCTAATCTCATGGACTAATATCACTAGCCAACTTCCAAGTTTGATTATCACCAACCAAACCCAATCAGTTTCCTCCATCCACTACAAGAAAACTAAGCCTTTACTAGGAAAATTTACTAGGAAAACAATTCCTCGTAAAAATACTACGAGTTTACTTCGAGTTTACGAGGAAACCATTTTTCCTCGTAAAGTTCTCGTATACTTACGAGAAAAAAGTTTCCTCGTAAACTCGTAGTAAACTTATGTGGCCCTTACGAGGAAAAAGATATTTTCCTCGTAAACTCATAGTAATTCCTTTCCTCGTAAAGTCCTAGTAATTGTTTACTACGAAATTAGGAGGAATGGATTTGTTACTACGAAATTAAGAGGAACTGGATAGAAAATATCAAATTTAAATCAAAAACGTGTTTTGTACCTACTTTTCCTAGGAATTTCCTAGTAAATTCTCAGATTCAAAAATTTCTATAAATACCACCATATGTGATTCATTTGAAACACACCAAAAAAAAATCAGCTATAAGCTTGATCAAACACAAAAAAAAAATGTCCGGTCCGGGAAATATTTTCGAGTTGCGGAAGTGGATATATTCACACAGAAATAATAACGGGAGGGTGACGAAAGAATTTATCGAAGGGTTGTAGACGTTTATGCATCAAGCATATTCTACACCACTCACGCAGGAAAGTGGTAAGATGTTCTGTCCTTGTCGGAAATGTTGCAATACCAAATTAGGCCCTCGTGAAAATGTTTGGAAGCATTTAGTAAATAGAGGTTTCATGCCATATTATTATATTTGGTATCAACATGGAGAAGATGCTAGTTGTAGGAATGAAAGTAGCAGTAGTAATAGCAATTTTCAGATTGAACCAGTTGAGCATTTGCATAATCACTACAAGAAATGTGGGTATTAATAGCATCGGATTATATCGTTTATTACAGTTATGCTATTGTATATTGACAGTTGCTTTTTTTATAGCGTTTTATCAATTTAAACGATATATTTGTTATCGCAGGAATATTATTTTTTTAGCCGCGTTAATTTGCTAAGTGTAGGTGTCTTACCATTGTAGATCCAAAAGTAAACGCTATAGTAAATGTAAAATATCTCAAATTTCAGACAAAAATCCAATGTTTATCTTTATCCAATGTTTATCTCTATAACACATTTAGGCACCAAATACTTACTAAAATATCACTTTTTGGCACCAAAACGTTTTGGTAAAAATATTTTTCTTTCTAAGTCATATCATTTCTTTTCTTCTGAAGAAAAAAAAAATCCAATTCTCTCCTCTTTCACATTTCATCACGAGAAATCAGCCGACGAATTCGAAGTGACAAACTTGATGAAAGAATCGAACGAGTTGCTTCTCTGTCTTCTGATGAATACTCCTCCTCCTTCCAATTTCAAACTCACCGTCCCACCACCACCACAACACCATTGTTCGACCCTCTCCTTGTTCGTTTTTTTCATCATGCGCTGAAAGTTGAAAGCTTGAAAGCTTGAAGATGGTGTGGTTTCGACCTGGTTCTAGTGTGGCAAAGCTTGATGTACAAAGGACCATGAATCAGGATGGTTCATACGGACGAGGACACGCTCCCTACCTTCTAAAAATCATTCCTTTCACTCAATCCTTTACAGACCAAACCCTAAAAGACTTGCTTCTGTTCCTTTCACTAAACCCTTCACAAGTCTCTGTTCTTCCTCTCCCATCGCCACTATCATATCGTAGTCTCTCTCTCTCTCTGTCTCTCTCTCTCCAACTTCGATTGATTTTGATTTCAAGGTAGTGAAGAATTTAATGTTATGGTTTACGCTGAAGCTCAGACAAGAGGACTTACTGTTTCCTCTCGTGTTAAAACGTAAGCTCTTTCTCTTAATCCTATATCTCTTTTTCAGATTCTGTTTTTTTTTGTTGTTGTGTTGTTTCCTCTCTGCTGTAGTTGTTGGTTCAGTGTTAGTTCTTTTTGTTGTGCTTAAGTGGAGATTCTTGCAGTAACCATTTTTCCTGCTTACCTAGTGACCAATAACTCGGAACATAACTTATTCAAACAGTTCCTGAAGTTAGTAGGAATGTTAGCTTATCCTTAATTTGTAAATAGATAAGCATTGTTTTCTAATTACATTCGCTTTTTATCAACTCAACTTGGCTCTCCTTAGGCCAAAGATGCATCTGAGTAATCTGTTGGAATATGGAGAGAGACATTCACTGATACCTTTTATATGATTGATCCTTGTAGAGCAGATGAGTGGGACGTGAACAAATGGTCATGGGAAGGAGAATTGAAAGTGGTGAGCAAAGGAAAAGAATGCATTATTAAACTTGTAGATAAAACCACTGGGGAACTTTACGCTCAGGCCTTTCTGCGTGATGGTGAACCTTATCATGTAGAAGCCGTTATCGACAGTAGCAGGTAACTATAGAGCTTAACCTGGTCTTCTCAATGATTGTGCAGCTAGTCTAACATAGAAAAACTCTGTTTTTGGCTTGTAGATATCTCTTGTCTTTCTCTTTGCTAAAGGTACTTGAACAAGAAGAAAACAGCAGAAGAAATGGAAAAACACTTTCAAAAGACTTTATCTATCGATTACAACTTAAAGGAAGGAGAAACCATTGTTCTTCAACTAAAAAATGTAAGATTTACAAGTTATTGCGCTAGGTACATGTTCTGTTTCTTATTTTTCACATTGAGATGATTGAAACAGAGGAATGATCAAGACACAAAGTCTAAGTTGGTGGATAAGAGTCTCAGTAATCTCAGTTGGAAGCAAAGGGATGTTCATGCTGGTGCACATTACTCTGATCTCGCTCTTGTAACATGTGATGTCGATGAGATAGCTGCTGGTTCGAAGTCTAGCTTTGTTCATGCTTATGCACATGGCTATTGTTTGGTTTATATATATTTTGGATGCACATGACTAATTGATGGCTTATGTGCTTCAGATGACAACAATTTATAATGTATGCAATATATTTTTAACTATGAAAATGGAGGAGGATAACAAAAGAATGATATTTATAAAGGTTATGTTTAAAATTTTGATTTGTAAATAACATTTTTTATGACTGCTCAATAAATTTAAAATTTTATATAAAATGTTATATTTAATAATCAAATTATCGTTTATATATAACGTACCTATTTAAATAAATTTAAGATATATATATATATATAATTATAGGGTTTGGAGTTCAGTGTTTTGGGTTTAATTAGATTTAATATTAAATTTTCAGATTAGATTTAAAATTTGAAATTAAATCATAAAAATAGAGTTTAAAGATTTTTAATTAGAGTTTAAGATATATGATTAATTTAGGGTATGATATAGGTATCGCTTATGGTTTGGGGTTTGGGGGTGTAGATTTAATTTTAAAGTTAGAATATAAAATATTAATTTTGAATTTAAAATTAAAATAATGATTAAAATAAGACAATATTTAAATTTTAAGAGTTGTATTTAAAGTTTAGGGTTTAAACTCTAATCCTTAAACATAAACTTCAAAACTTCAATATTTCATAATATAACTTCAATATTAAATTTAAACTCAAAATTAAATCATTTAAAAAATATAAGCACACATTTAAATTCTAGACCTTAAATGCTAAATCTTAAATCTACACCATAAATCTAATACCCTAAAATTATAACCCCTAAACATAACCTCTCTACTATAACCCCTAAACTATAAAGGTATGTGAGTGGTTTTCAGTTTTTAGTTTATAGATAAAGATAGAAATAAATGTTCGAGGGTTAGGTAAAAGATGAAAATGTATGAATTATATTTGTGTTTACATTTAAGATTGAGTTTAGGTTGTTTAAAAAGTTTGGAAGTTAAGAATGAATTTAGAGTTTAGGGTTTCAAATACCATGAATTTAAAGTTTTAAGAATGTGTTTAGAGAAAGAAAAAATGAGTTTAAAGTTGATACCTTAAATCATAAAACCTAAAATTCAAAATTTATATCCAATCTAAAACCATATACTTAATTATATGCCCCAAATTCTATTTCATAATTCTATACCCTAAAATCTATTTCATATACTATAATTTCAATTTATAAACCCAAACATTACTAAAAAACTAAAATTTTAAATTCAAATGTAAATATTTGAATTTTATCTCAAATAATTTATGTACATTACAATTTTACCATTAATACTTTGTGTATTAAAACAAAATAGAATAGAAAAGTAACTAAAATTTTTGATTGGTTAAAACAGCTGACCAATAATATACAAGGTTGAGGATCAGCCCTTTTCA